CTCACGTTGTTGATGGTGGCCTGACAGAGCTGGGGATCCCCGGGACCATTACTGACGAACAAACCATCAAAATCTGGAAAAAGATGAGAAACAATCATTTATGTAACCACTGATAAAAGTGGTACGAGTTCCCCTGAAGAAAAATCCCCGACATAGCGCGTGTTCCTGACCGGGGGTGTCCAGCGGGTGGTCCCAGGGTACGACAGTAACACGGGCTCCTCTCTGAGCTGGTTGTACTTGATGCCACAGTCCACCACTGTGATACGAAAGCTGCCGCTATGATTGAACACTTTTGGCTCCTGGAGACAACCAAACAGAGAAACATCTAAATATCTGACAGGCACAAAACAAGCAGCAAGCTACCTGTCAAACAATATGTTTTGAGACAACTACAGACAAAAGCTTTTTATTTAGTCTAAAACCTCTTACTTGAGCTGAAGTGTGAGCGCTAAACTTTTCCTATGTTTTAGAGCTTTAAAAAAAACCTTCACAAAATTAGACCCACAGATCAAATCTCCAAGTTTCTAGTTTATCAGTAACATAAATAACGCCCTCCATTAGCACTCGAGAGCTGGCAGAGCTTCGATGGGACTGTAACAAAACTCCTGGTGGGTTACCTTCATGGAGACCTCTCGGACCAGGTTCCTCTTGTCGGGATTATCGAAGGGAATACTTTCCTCAGGAGTCCCGTCCACTATCAGCTTCCCCAACATGGTCCCCTTCTCTCGGATCTTTTTGGTCAAGCAGCGGGTGTCAACACCTGAAGAAAATGGAAACAGTTTGTAGCATTAAATTGAAAAGCTTGCATCTGATTATTTTATGCATTAATATATATTACAGATGCTGAGCAGTTTTCCAATTAAATTACGCCCATTTTTATTCTGGGTTTCTGACCTTGTAATCCAGGAATGCCTTGCTCTTTGAGCCACTGGTCCAGTGACTTGGCTGAACTCCAGTGACTGGGACTTTCAGACAGTTCTCCAATAATCAAAGCAGCAGCGTGGATCTTGTATGACTCAAACCACTGAACAAGACAACAACAGATGAGACAGTGTGTTTTATCAGAGTTAAGACTTCTTTCATTCAGATAAAACCGTCCCACAGAAGAAAA